TTTTGGGGTTGTACAAGAGGCTACAAATAACTTTGATGAGAGTTGGGTTATTGGAATCGGTGGTTTTGGGAAGGTATACAAGGGAGTCTTAAATGATGGAACTAAAGTGGCTGTCAAGAGGGGAAATCCACGGTCTCGACAGGGACTTGCAGAGTTCAGGACTGAAATTGAGATGCTATCTCAATTCCGTCACCGCCATCTTGTCTCATTGATTGGGTATTGTGATGACAAGAGTGAGATGATTCTGATATATGAATATATGGAGAACGGAACCCTGAAGAGTCATCTCTATGGCTCAGGTCACCCCAGCTTAAGTTGGAAGCAAAGGCTTGAAGTATGCATTGGATCAGCTAGAGGACTTCACTACCTTCACACTGGCTATGCAAAAGCAATTATTCATCGTGACGTGAAATCTGCAAATATCTTGCTTGATGAAAACCTCATGGCCAAGGTTGCTGATTTTGGGATTTCCAAGATGGGGCCTGAAATCGATCAAACACATGTCAGTACAGCAGTGAAAGGGAGTTTTGGATACCTTGATCCTGAATATTTTAGAAGGCAACAACTGACAGAGAAATCAGATGTGTATTCATTTGGGGTGGTTTTGTTTGAGGTCCTTTGTGCAAGACCTGTTCTAGATCCGTCCCTTCCAATGGAAATGAACTTGGCTTTATGGGCAATGGAATGGCAGAAGAAGCGGCAGTTGGAGCAAATAATAGATTCTACCCTTGCAGGAAAAATCAGACCAGATTCTCTCCGGAAATTTGGAGAAACCGCCGAGAAATGCTTGGCTGACTATGGTGTTGACAGGCCCTCCATGGGAGATGTGTTGTGGAATCTAGAGTATGCCCTTCAACTTCAAGAGGCAGAAATTCCAGGTGATGCTGAAGAAAATAGTACCAATATGATTGTCGAGCTATCCCCGCAAGTCAACAACTTCAATAATGTATTGGCTCGAGTTTGTGAATTTGACGAGATCATAGACATTTATTTGTCCTAAGTGGGAACGTATTGACTGTACATGTAAGTGACATCACTATTTAGATCTTGGCTTATTTATATAGATGACCCATGTGCTTTCAAAGTTGTCTCAGATTACCATATGTGCTTTGAAACGTTTCAAAATACCCCTACACTTTTAAAAACTGTCTCACATTACTCTTTTCGTCAGTATTAAGGACATTCCGTTACATGGTGTGGGCCCCACTTTTTTGAAATCGCTTAATAATATTTTCATGACCAGAAAAACCACTCTCATTTCATCTCCAGGCTTCTGTAATCCAAAACCCCACTTGCCCAAGAAATCATAACCAACATTGGTGGTACCACTGGTGGTGCTGCTGCCAATAGTGTCAATTCCACAGCTGCAATTCTTTGCATCTTGAAGCCCCATACTGCAAGGAAAGCAAACCCCCCTCCCTCCCCTGCCTCCACTCTTCAAAGGCTCACTGGGTTCTTCAAGATCTTCAAGTATTTGGATGTTCAAGTTTGGTTTCTTTTACAGAAGTTGGTCTACCTCCTTCCCTTGAAGTCATAAGCATTAAGGAGTGCAATTCGTTGATGTATTTCGCAAAATACCAAATTCCCCCAAATCTAAGAAGAAAAGAGA